ACATACACACATACAACCACAACTACTATTTTATCAACACATACAAACATATAACCACACACTCTACCATCTTAACATCATACACACACACATATATACCACACACTCGACCAATCAATTCCCCCCCCAACCCCACACACCATAATAGCATCCATGAAATTGGTTAGCTTGTCCAGATCTTCGCTGATGTCGTTCTGCACCACGCTGCTATCGGGACAGTCACCCATAGCCTCATGCACAGCCACCAGGTGTGTTGTTTTAATAGCGTTGAGCAGCATACGACAACCGTACTTGTCTCCTTCCACAGCCCTCTGAGCGGCTGTGAGTAGGCGTGTGGTGGTGCCCTCGGTCTTGATCTGTGGGTGCGTGGGGGTGGTAGGTATTGGCGTGTGATGAGGATGTGCATACATATACAATACATAGCTATTGGCAACTAGGAAAACGTTTGCGAGTTGATTGAGTGTACATACATATACAATACATAGCTATTGTCGAATAGGAAAATGTTTGCGCGTTGATTGAGTGCACATACATAAACAGCTATTGTCGAATAGGAAAACGTTTGCGTGTTGATTGAGTGCACATACATATACAATACATAGCTATTGTCAGGTAGGAAACTGATTGCGTATTGATTGGGTGTACACACACATACACTACATTGCTATTATCCTCTATGATAACGTTTACAAATAAGCCGTCCGTACTGTTCCATATTCGTTTACGCATTCGTACTCATTCGGAGCTGCACAGGCAGTTGAACATAGGGGTGTGTAGTATATACAACAAGCACACAGAAGAGGTTTGATGGCGGATAACGAGGCACGTAGCACTGATCCAGGATACAATCGTACACATTTAAAACATACGAACGCACAGGCCTATACATAAGACTATGGACATCCATTCTATGACGCGGTATACATATACATATACATATATATATTCCATGCACGCGGTACATGCTTAAATAGACCCACATGTACGAGTCACGATACTCAGACTATTACGTATGTACCTGGGCACTGAGCGCAGACACCACCACAATAGGATTGTGGGTGGCCGTATACGACCGTACAATCTCGACAATCTGCAGCATTTTCTTACCCGTGCCCACACTTGTGCCACCGAACTTCTGGACCACAATGGGTCTACAGGGATTAAAAGACCATGAAACAGGGTCAAAATAAGTGAAATGGGGAGATTTCAGGTGATAATTGGTCTATCTGATGAAGCTAGGAGAAGCTCATACAGGCATGTAGTATAGCTAAAAGAGGACAGTATACGACCGACAATTGGCATTCTTACATAAAACAGGCAGATTAAGGCTTAACTGCGATATATATACACATACATATTTATATGTATATTTACATAAATATATAAATATATGTTTGTTTAAGCGCGTGGGCACATACAAAATATAGATACAAATGTATGCATACATCGATGTATAAACATATTTTATGGTTATGAACATTGTAAATGTTTACACACAAACCCAATACACACGCACACACACACACATATATATATACATATACACACACACACACATATCTATATATACATATACACACACACACACATATATATATATATACATACACACACACACCCACACACACATATATATATATACATACACGCACGCACACACACCACACACATATATATATACACACACACACACATATATATACACACACACACCACACACATATATATATATACACACACACACATATATATATATACACACACACACACACACGCACACATGTATATATATTACGTATATACATAAACCATACCCACCCACCCACCCAGAAATATATTTAATTATATGTGCTTTGTGTATATGCTACCTGACATACACCTAATATATATATATAACACACACACGTATATATATATATAATAAAGACACAGCATACATACACACACA